CGGGGGCTGGGGCAAGGCACGGGGAGCGGCACATAGGGGTGGGCAGGGCTGCACAGGGAGACATCGGCACACGGACAGGACAGCGACACAAACGTACACCAACACACACCGACACAGGGACGGCACAGCGGCACACAGCACACTGATGCACAGCCCGACACACGGACAGCACACTGACACACACACACACTGAAACACACACACCAACACATGGGCAGCACTGCAGCACATAGCAACACACAGCACACTGACACACACACCATGCACACCAACACGTGTGTATACACGCTGTACACCAACACACACTACACCACCACACGTGTACGCACACAGGCGCACACACTGCACGCCCCAACACACACGCACACCATACACAAGCACATGCGTGCACACACAGACTGCACACACGTCACGCATGAGGGGTGGAAGCTGTGCACCTTTTCCGTGCACACACGTGCTGCTCTGAATGCGCACAACTGCTGGAGCTGGCTCCATTCTTACTGCCAATAAAGTCACCCATTTTCACGGCTGACCGTGCTCCGGGCCAGCTCAGTCCCACACAAGGCAAGGACTTCCCTGCCTGGCCCCTGCACCATGCGGCTATGGGAGACAATAGCATGGAGGGGAAGTCAGCCAAAAGGAGCTGCAGGAGTTACAGGGCTGTGAGGAAGAGATGGATTTCATGGGCAGGGATGTGAGAGGTGGCCACGCTTCAAGTAGAGGTGAAGGAAGACTTGGGGGCATTTGGGGAGAGGAATCCAGCAAGGACAGCAGTGCCCAGGACACAGCAGCAGTGACGCCATGGACATCCAGGGTGACCTGGCCAACGGCACCTGAAACTCCAAATCTGCTCACAGATTGAGCAACCCTGGGAGAAGGGAGGGGAAATAAGTGGGGGCAAGCCACTTGCTTGGGAGGAGACAAGGGTGGAGGAAAGGGAGAGGTTGGGGAAGATGAGGGGGATGTGCAAGCATGGCAAATGGGGAGCAGGGAGCCAGTCACACACAGACTGCTGAGCCCTGTGCCGAATCACCAGTTTGCCCTTCCTCTGTGGCAGAAGGGAGCACAGGCGACAGGGACCCAGCGTTGGAAACACTGAGCGCCAGGACAGCCGCTGGCTGGCCAGCCGCTGGCAGGAGCAGAGTGTGCAGCACCATTCACCCCGAGCTTGAGGAGAAAGAGGAGACCCTTGCAGCCATGGCTGCAGCCCCCTGTACGGGGCTGGGGGCAGTGGTAGCCGAGGAGGGGCTACAGGGGCAGCTCCTGCGAGCAGCTGCCAGAACCCTCCCCAGCTCCAAGCTGGACCTGGCCAACGCCAGCCCAATTAGGAATGGTAGGGCTGCCCCTGTGACAAGACATTGAGGAGGGGTGCAGCATAGGGAGCAGGCAGCGTGGCCCTGGTCAGCCCAGCCCCAGCTGCTCTGCAGGAACCAGCAGAAACCTGCAGCAGAGGGGCACGATGTGAGGGAAACGGGTGCTGGAGCAGATCCACCCGCAGCCCAGCAGCAGTGTGATGGGCCTGCAGGCCATGGAGATCAACAGCGGAGCAGATCCACCCACCCCGTGGTGAGACCTCAGCCTGACCAACCTGCAGGCAGCAGAGATTTAACAGTGGAGCAGATCCCCCCCACAGCCCATGGGACACCCCACACAGGAGCAGGCAGCTGCTCCCCAAGGCAGCTGTGATTCTCTGGGAAGGCTGCGCTGAAGCAGTGCCTGTTCCTGCAGGGCTACACCCCATGGAGGGCACCCATGATGGAGCAGCTTGTGAAGAAATGCAGCCCGCAGGAAGGACTCACATTGCAGAAGCTCATGGAGGGACCCTGTCCTGGAGCCAGGGAGGAGGAGCCCTAGCCCTGGGAAGGAAGAGGCACAGAAATGTGATGAACTGTCCACAACCCCCATTCCCTGCCCCCTGCACCACTGGTGGGGAGTAGGTAGGGAAACTGGGAGCAAAGCTGAGCCTGGGAAGGAGTGGTGGGGTGGAAGGGGTTTTTAATATCTGGTTTTATTTCTCATTATCCGACTCTTTGTTTTGATTAGTAGCAAATTAAATTGCTTCCTGAAGCCAAGCCTGTTTTGCCCATGACCATAACTTGTGAGTGATCCCTCCCTGTCCTGGTCTTGACTCACAAGCCCTGGCAGCTGCTCCCCAAGGCAGCCGTGATTCTCTGGGAAGGCTGCGCTGAAGCAGTGCCTGTTCCTGCAGGGCTACACCCCATGGAGGGCACCCATGATGGAGCAGCTTGTGAAGAAATGCAGCCCGCAGGAAGGACTCACATTGGAGAAGCTCATGGAGGGACCCTGTGCTGGAGCCAGGGAGGAGGAGCCCTAGCCCTGGGAAGGAAGAGGCACAGAAATGTGATGAACTGTCCACAACCCCCATTCCCTGCCCCCTGCACCACTGGTGGGGAGTAGGTAGGGAAACTGGGAGCAAAGCTGAGCCTGGGAAGGAGTGGTGGGGTGGAAGGGGTTTTTAATATCTGGTTTTATTTCTCATTATCCGACTCTTTGTTTTGATTAGTAGCAAATTAAATTGCTTCCTGAAGCCAAGCCTGTTTTGCCCATGACCATAACTTGTGAGTGATCCCTCCCTGTCCTGGTCTTGACTCACAAGCCCTTTGTTCTATTTTCCCGCAGTGGAGAAGGGATGAGCGAGTGAAAATTAGTTCCGATTAGCTCAGACTGGGATACCACGTGGCGCTCAGCTTCCCGCTGGACCTAAGCCACAACTCATGCCCGCTGGATCAGCCCCAGCACCTACGGAGCTCACAAGAGGACCAGGCCTGCCAGCCACATCTCCACCTCCTGGAGTCACAGAGGATGCAGAGGTGCTTGACCCCTGGGGCTGCAGGAGCATCCCCGCTGCACCAGGACTGTCCATCCCCCTCCTCCTGCTGTGCTCTTGGCCCTGGCTCGTGATGGTGCTGCAGCTCCCATCCGGGACACACAGCTCCCCACAGCCCAGCTGGGATCCCCGGGGCCTGCCCTTGGCTCCATCTGAGGGTGGGTTGAGGGGAGCTGCTCTGGCTCTGCAGATGGTGCTGCAGCACGGTCCCTCCTGAACACATTGGGGTTTCTGCTGAGAGGCCTCAGCTTGAGCCCCCCCACAGAGCACAGGCCCTGACCCACGCCACTGGTGGGGGGAATCTCCACAGCCCATAGTGCGTGACCCCGGCACTCGCCAGTCAGAGCTGTCACTGCCACAGCTGCAGGGCAGCTCCCGGGACACGGGTGGTCAGC